TCATTATGTACTAAATGAATGACTGGCTCAGATATATATTTCATTCCTAAATAGGAATTACAATTACGACATGAGAAACTCCTTAGTCACATCATCTTTATAGTGACCTCGTTGCTCAGCTGGTAGAGCGTGCGCTGTACAAAAGCGTAGGCGGCGTCGATGCAGCGGTTCGAAGCCCACCGAGGCTACTGAACTTTTCACAATTTCAACATAAGACTCCAATCTGCCAAACAACTATTTGAACAATATCTTGATAGTGTCAAATTCTTTCTAAACATCATGTCTATTTTTTTAATTTCTCAAGATGGATTTTCTAATCGATGTCGAATGCTAAACACAATCCGAAATTTCACACGTTCTTGTCAAAAACATTCATTCGATATTTCACTTGAAATCCTATGCCTCCGGAAACAATTATGGGCGGCGGGGGGGGGGGNATTTTAAGATAGTGACACACGGACTGGGTGTTAAGGTCGTCGAACGGAGAACGGTGTCCGTCGAGTTTTTTTGTCTCAGCGAGCTAGGCTGTGTGTCCGCATCAATGTTCGAGCGAAAGTTCCAGTTGGATACTCTCGTTGCCCTACTGAGACAATCCTCTTAACGCATTTAATCAATACACTCATGTCTTGAATGTTGGGTCAAGTGCCCCATATGACCTCGTTTTGCTTAGTGACCTCTTCAGGTGAAATCGAATGGGATCTATTACCGTTTTCACTTGCGCATATTTTTTTTGTGTCTGAAAAAAATAAAACGACACGGTCACAGTTGTTTGGTGACCCTGTTTGCTACTTACCGGGTTCGTTCTGTTTTTGACACTTGTCCGTTTGGCCAGTTCAGAACAGTTTTCCACTTAGTTATTTCGTTGCCTTTGTATTGCATGATCAAAACAATTTGCTCCAAGCTCCAAAAATACCAACTGATGTTCGCCGATCCCTCGTTTCACAAATGATAAACAGGATCGGTGACATCGTGGGTGCGGTATTTGTAAATCGAGTGCATGAATTGTGTCGGGTGATACAGTTGGGAATCATAACAGTTAATTTTTCCTTTTATTTGGAGCTCATCAGTAGTCAATTTCGAACAATCCACCAGGAACTTGAACTCCGGACTCATGGCATGGGAGGTGTATGTGCTAACAGTGCGCTAACAAACCCACACTCAGGCTGATATAAATTGCTAATTCGATTTTGTTTAGGTGTCGTCTTCGACGATAGTCAATCACCTCGGTGGGATTCGAACCCACGCATGGACACCGCCTACGCTTTGTACGCGCATGCTCTACCAGCTGAGCTACGAGGCCACACCGATAGCACTGATCTTTTTCACATTCGAAAAAGATCAAACCAAACAACTATTTGAACGATAGTCAGTCAGTTCATTTTGCTCTGACAGCTTGGAAGAAATACCCAGTTAATTACGTCTTCACTCTTTTCGAGAACACCCCACCAAATATAGTTTTCAACGCAGGTTTAGTTAAACCTAAAACAAGTCAAGTCAAGGAATAGCTTTATACACATGGGTGGTTATTCATCAACCACACAGGCACCGTGTGTCAACAATGAAAAAAGTCGAAGTGTAGTACAACAATTAAAAGAAGTAAAACGCACAGCAGCATAAAAAATCACGGGATACCAGGGTGTTAATAATTGGTTTAGTTCAGCATTTTTCGCAGATTTTCTGCAACGAGTTCATGGTTCGTGAGAAATCTGGCGAGATACGGTACAATGCAGCGCCTGTAAGCTTCAATGCGTGCCTTTTATAAGTTCATGACTCGAACGGGTGGATGATTAAGAAAGGCACTGACTAAAAGCAGAATAAAGGAGATAAGAAATATCCGATAAAATCTAGCTGGAGAATGTTTTACAGGACTTGAGGTGGTATGCCACCACGTGTTAGACCAAATGTTCCCGTGGTATAAGACTGCATACCGCCAGGAACTTTAGGACTCAGGAAATGAGTTTGAGGTCCTTGTTAAAAGACCGGGAAAGATAACAGGGGACCCATATAGCCAGTGGGGCAAAGTGCAAACAAAAAGAGAACGCCTTATGAGATGATTTGGGATGGGAAGTGATTTAAGATGAGAAGCAAAAATCGTAAGCCTGCTAATCTTCAGAAGAACGTCGTTGATGTGGTCAGGCAAGGTGAAGTTCCGGTTGGAAATAATGCCAGTTTATTTGACAGACGGTTGTCGATCCGTTTGGTCACTAAAGATAGATAAAGGTGGACTTGCATTTGACAATTCATCATACTTTTTACCTTTTAAAAGAGGGGGGGGGGGAATAAATCATTATATTTCCCGGGGTTCATACGGAGGTACCTTTGTTGAGATCACTCAACTATGATTCGTGCAGTATTGCGATGTGGTCTTTTCTTTTGAAATATTATGTGATCTGCATATTTTACAAGAAGAGAAGAATTGCTCACAGACATAGAGGAAATGTAATCGAGAAATAGAAAATGGGATAAAATAGCGCCTTGGGAGGGCAGCAGTGAAGATGTACGACTTTTGTGAAATGCCGACGCGTGGAGAAACAGTCGGCCAAAGTTCAATCATAGGAGGTTGAACGCAGCCCGAAGAGAGGGTATTTAGCAATTTTTGTCTGTCAATCGTGTTGATGGCGTCACTGTAGTCTATAAAGCATGCTTACAGTTTTCCTTCAATTCATGTTTACTAGATTGTCAGCTATCTTTCTGCGTTGTGTTTAGGCTAAAATAAGTTGGAATCCATGGCTGCAACGCGAGCATAAGATTTTGGAACGTACACGAAAATGAGACTTTTTAGTGTACCAAATGATGCAGAACCCGGATTAACTGTCTTCCGCCGTTCATCTTGTTTTCCGTCAATCAGGGGCATTCATCAGTTAAGGCTCCACAACTGCTGACTAGAATGCCGGCGTCATTTCTTTACCCCCAGAATGTTTAGTATTTGGGATTCTGTACCACTTCACGTTGTTCCTACGTCCACAATTGATTCTTTTAAACACATACTGAATGAATCATGTCTTAGTTTTGGACATCCGAAACAGTACACTGAACAGTGAAACTTTGCGACATCCCTCGACCCTCTTTGATCGGTCAATCGATCCACTTGTTTGAACACTCCTATTGAACAAGAAAACCACCTGCTTGTAAGTATTTCCCAAATTAGAACATAGACTTTGGCTATCCTTGAGGACAACATTCAAAAAATATTGAATCGCTAATTTTTGTCAACCCCGATGTTAACTGGTTGGTGCAGTGGTAACACCTACCTTCTAGGTGAGAGGTCCGGGATGAATGTCTAGGGCGGATTGTTGAATATATGCTACTGTTGAGCTCTAAAGGGAGTGAAACTCGAGTCTATTACCTCGCAGGCGTTTAGTTGATTGGAGAATAAAACTGAAGTTTAAAAGACGACCTCAGATATGCTATTTTCGTCCCATTTTCCCACAGATATTCTGGACACAGAAGGGAAATAAGTAGGATTTCCCTGGTCGATATTTCATAGTTGCGCTCTGTGTGAGACCAGCTTTTGGAATGTTTTCACCTTCTTGCCTACCCCGAAAGAAAATGTGACTATCTGAAGTCTTTATTAGTTTTTTTCATGTTACTGTTGTTGTTTATCACTTGCGTTCAGCTCATTCGATCCGATCTGTTCCTTTTCGGTTACATTTTTTGACCATGTCTCCGTGTATCATTCATGTTTATCATCCGGTAGTCTGTTGACCATCACTTCCGATTCTTTACGGACGCGAAACATTGAGTCCTTTTATACATTTCATCACTACAGAAAAAAGATAAATGTCGTGAGATGTTAACATCTCTTTTAGTTTAGAGTATCAAGCTTGGATTAGCCCACTCGATTGTTCAGAGGCACCAGGCACTCTTGATGGTCTTGAGTGCCTTTGAACAATCGAATGGGCTAATCCAAGCTGGACACTCTAAATTGATTGAGCCTTTCGCACAAGATGATGACCATCGACCATGTAGCTCAGGGGTAAATGTTTGAAGTCCCTACCCGATTGATCGCGGTTCGAGTCCTGACAGGGACACAAAAAGTACGCGCTGCTGACGAGTCCAAAAGAAGACGAGACAGCTGTCCAATGTCTTTTAGTCTTCCTGATTGTCGACTTGAAGCATACAGGCATATATATATATATATATATATATATATATATATATTGCACTTGGCGTTATTCAGTTATGGTGAATGAACGTTTACAAGCATACAAGGATTAATAAATATAAAACCAAAAGGTCAGTTCCACGTTGAGTTGATTGGTTATATAGAAAACGTTTGTGCGCATAAGCTCGGGTGGTGAAATCGAATAAGCTGCAAAACGTTTATTGTTGCGAGTAAGTAATAGTGGTTCGAGAGGCCCGTTAGAGTCAACTGTATGTTTCGTTGTCATGATACGTCTTGCAGCAGATGGCCCCGGATTTCTTGTGATCACTTGGCCATCATTTATCGCTTGCGTCTTCGGCTAAATTGCAAGCTAGTTTATTGCAACAAACACAATTCGGTGGGGTTAACCCTTAGTTGAGATATACTTCACATTTCACCTTTGTGCGCTACGAATTAGATCCTTAGATGGGAAATAATAATGAGTATCACCAAGTTTACTACTCGACTGCTTCGCTGTCAAAACTAGTGTCATCCATAGTTACTACTAGATTCGCTATCACTAATTTGTGGCGTGGTACTACATCTCTCAAATCTTTAAAACTGGGTTTGCTCGAAATGTATCAGGGTCCTCTTTAAATGAATTATTTTACTGAATTTTCTCATAATTGATGATTGAAACAAAACCAATTCAATTTACTTTTATGGTTGATGCTAAACTCTAACCATTACTTACCCACATCGCACGTATTATCGTGATTGTGCAGTTTTTAAAAGTCATGGGTTTTACAGGTATTGGAAACAAAGATACATTGTTTCAATCCCTGATTCGAGTCGCATAATTTGTCGATTCTCTGATCTTCTCACCCTAATTCCATGTCGCTTGTGTGCCTCTCAGGCTGTTCCTGTTCCAGAAAATCAACTCCCAGTCACTCTTCCGCCACTGACAGAAGCGTTCAAACGTGGAGCTGTTCCGTTGCGGGACAACTTGGAATGGCGCAAAACAACCTGTCCAGGGTGAGTTTGATCTCTGTGCATTGGAGCAACTAACTGTTCTGTGTTGAAGTCAAGTCCAAAACTTACTGGTAAAACGCACCGTATGTATTCTCTGTGCATCAGATGCGGCGGTCCGGCCGATCGAGAGACGGACACATTGGACACATTTGTTGATTCCGCTTGGTATTACATACGCTATCTGGATCCGAAGAATACGCAGTCCATTTGTCACCCGAATCGTGTACAGAATGCACTTCCTGTAGACGTGTATGTGGGTGGAATAGAGCATGGTACGTTTGTGTCGTGCTATTCTCCTGCTGATACTTGATACTTGTGCTATTTCCTATCTTCTGGCCCGTGTACACCATAGAACGGGTCCCTTAGATCCGTAAATTCATATCCGATGATCCGTTTTTTTGAGTGTGCGAAAATTAGCAAGCGCCATTTTATGTTCCTCAGTAGTCTCCAATCTCTTCGTTTGATAATCTCAAAGCCGACCAATTTGGGTTGTAATACATGAGCTAATTGCTAACCATTCAAAATAATTTCTGTGCTCATTCGTGAGACAGTTTCGTGTAGAGCCTCGCGTCACTGATGAAAGCAACACGCAATCGTCAATTCACCTAAGCTCATAAATAAGGCTACCAGCGTAATAATAACTGACCTGTTCAGTTTTGGCTGGTTCGGTGCAATCTCCGTCAAAGCTCCTACGCATACACACACACACACACACACACACACACACACACACAAATATACACATTTGTACTGTAGAAAAGAATGTGAAAACAACATACCCGTCTTTCTATAGCTCAATGAAATAGACATGATACAAACTCAGTGTATCTGGTAATTGAGAACATTTGATCGATGCATCTGACGGAAATGATGCAAGCAGAGAGTGCCTGAGTAAATGCGGGCGCGGGTGGTTGAATAAAGTCTTCCTCAACAGGTAGCTCTAACTAACTGTAACACACTGTTGTACTCACAGAATAAACCCATAGTTATGATCAGAACACAGGCTGTAGGCAAACATATGTTTTCGGTGAGTTCCGTATCAAGCAAGTACAATCACATTTATGTGAGAAAATAACGGGAAAGTGTTGTGTTGGAGTCCAACAGTCAAGTTCAAATAAATATAGGAGAGAGGTGGGATAGGGACACATTTTTCACTCGTTCTCATGTTCAGATAAGAACGGGTTACGTAAGCGTTGATAATTGATCTGGGTCATCGCAACGCTCATGCGTGATGTTGTCCGCTTTGGGCCGGGGAAGTTTAAGTACCTGAACAAGTGTTTTTTGCACACACAATTCTGACTTCAACAAGCGGATGATAATTGCCTCGGCCGTTGCTAGCGTTTCAATTCAAACAGCCTTGGATTTATGTTGTGGGACGCGATAAATGATGGTGAAAGGCGAATTAGTATCCACTCTATGTCCAGTTTCGACACAAATGTGATTGTACTGGCTTGATAAGGAACTCACCGAAAACATATGTTCGCCTACAACCAGTGTTCTGACACTGTTCTACCTTTAACATACAGGATGTTTGAAGTAAAAATAATGGCAAACCATGTTACTGCCGAAAGTGCTTGCTCATTAAATAGATACAAGGTGAGACTACTACGAAAAGTTATCTCTAAACAATCAGCTTCAGTTTTGCACAAAACCAATTCTACGATCACCTCCAAAAATAGTTTCATTTGAATCAAGTTATCTGTCTCTAATCTACGCTTGAAAATCACATTCAGACCTGTGCAATCCCCATCCCTCTTATGTTGCCTGAAACAAAATTTGATTGACAGATGCACTTAGAAAAAAGTCTGTCAAGTATTGTGTGTAATCCCGACTGGTGGTTCATCGTGGTAGGCAAGTAATCATCGTTTCAGTGTGGAATGACTATTCAGGGCCCCGTACGGCAAGATTGTTAGTGATACGTATGACAGAAGTGCCAGGTTTCCGGAAACTATCCAGATATACCACACATAGGGATAGCTTTTTATGGGTGACTGCGAGGCCGGACATACCGTTAGTACGGATAAAAAACTACAAATTGAGATAGGTTATGATTACGTCAGAGTGGACACCCGCCTAGTGACGGACGAGTGAAGCGGAGGGAGTAGACTACGTGCCAGGGACCTGTTTAGAAGATCAGTGTTGGTGTATGTTTTAATACAGCGAAGAAAATTTAAATTTTACTTTCAGCAGTAATCTTATCATCGTTCAACGAAATGCAGTGAAGCGAAGTTCATTGGTTGGTACCAAACTAATCCAACACACAAAGTGAGTTGTGAATGTGTAGTGTGGATGGGGAGTGCATCTGTTTCGAAGGAATGGAAAAGAAATTGAACCTCTATGATAAACACAAACAGTACACAGTTTATCTGTGCATACACACTTCATCAAGCTTTTTGACTTATTTAAAAATGAAAACAAGAAAATCACTGCTGTCGGTTCACTGGTATGCATTTCAGCGTCTCCAATGCCCCAGTTATAGAGCTTTTTGACTCACAGCCTGGAACACAAGACTGTTCGAACTGTGTAGTTCTTCATGCCTCGTATGATCATTATCTGCTGAACCCCATGCAATTTTCTCAGGCCCGGAGCGACAATGAGCCGTTCGGCATGCGCACTAAGTACGCTGTTCAATTAACTTACTAATCTGGATTCTAGGTGATGACGATGCACTTCGAGATTGCTAACGTCCACCTTCCATTAAGTCTGCAGTTTCAGTTTCAGAACGAGACTCCTTGTTGTGAATGATCAGTTCGTTTTTATCGCGGATTGTTTCACTGACCGGGATCCGTCGGCCCCCTGCGTTGCATTTTAAGCGGAACAACCTTCGACGATTCCTCAAGACATCTACTACTTTGATTTAACTAGCTACTTCGGTTTACTCATTTTGCAATAAACTGTAGAACGATCCTCGTCGTATCCTAAATTGCACTGAAAGTATCCGGAGCACAAACCCGGCGCCCATAGTGACTCAAACTGCTAGATTCTTGAATTCAGTTATCCGATGCACAGGAGATATCACCCGCTCATTATTCCATTGTACGCGCAAGATGAGCTTGTTGTTCGATCCGCATGAGAGTCCTCAAATTGAAGGCTCCCAAATTCAGAGTTCATATTTGTTTGAGGAGATGCTACGGGTTGAAAGCAGAGTCAAAGATAGAGGGGTCTGGATAGAACACAAGCAGTTAAACAAAGGTTAAGATACCGAAACAGTGGCTCCTGATCGCTAGCAACCTCGCTCGATACATTAGGCAGCGCCGTCCCGGTTATCCCAGGATGCAATGTGGGATTATTTTTACTTTGTGTATTCATCTGAACTTTATGGATGGCTACTGTTGGAGAACCAACCACTGAACCGTCTGGGATTTGATGGCCAACGTCTTTAGCTCTGATGATAACCGAAACAGTAGCGGGCAATCCGAAATAGAAGGCCATCTACTTGAATCAACTCTTCCATCATTTTATCGACGTAGGAGGACCAGGAGACTAGACTTTGTTTGATTTCTACCTTTTTCGTTTTGATTGGATCTGCAGCTTGATGAAACCATCCTGTGTAGCTCGTGTCACAGAGGTGTACAAGACATGATATCATGGTAAAGGGTGGCTTCTTTGTGATGACGATTTCGATTAGGAAATCCTATCAACTGAACCTCAAAAATTCAGGTTGGTCAGTTCTAAGACCCTCGGACAGAATTTGATAATGGTGCAATCGTCAACTATCGCCTACGAATTCTTTTGCCACGTTTGATTGATACACATCATGCCAACGAAATTCGATCTGAATTGGTAGTTTCTACCTGCGGTTCGTCGACCAGCTCTATTTCGTTACTCCATTCACTGTCTCCAATACTAATCCTTCATTCAACCCGTTGATGGTATACCAGTCTGCTGTCAACTTCGGTCTAGTCAACCGAACTCTTACCAGTGCCCACTATACGATACCAACGTATGGTAACCTTTGCTCTGAACTAAGGAATGGTGGTAAGCTACACTTTGCAGCTATCGGAAATATGTTGCATAGTGTCGAACAATAGAATATATTACCATCAGTATAAGGTGATCTTCATATCGGGTACCTTGAGTATGTGGTTCGGTGTGAACCATGCACTCATTGTAAAAAACGCATCGGGAACATTTGAGGTATGATTAACTTTTGGGATATGGTATTAGCCAGATCGCTGGTGATGCATTCACATGCATACATAGCTGCTTCATACATGAAACCAGCAGAGCTGTATGCCATCCGGTGCGAGTTCAGATCATGAATAGACGAATGATCACCATGGTGGTATACGGTGAATAGGTGGATTCACTGATTCATTGAGTTTGTTGGTCGTGATATGCATGAAGCTGGCCCACCACCAAGTGTAAGCGTTCCCTTCTCAGTAGTACTTGGCTGTTCGTAGAAAAGAGTCAATTCTTACTGGGAACTTAACTTTGCATGGATTTCCCCAAATTCCTCGTAAATTGCACCATAAAACCGAATTAGAAGAAAGTTGTCTGTAGCAAAATGTAAGGAGCTAATTTACTTTGCTTTACAATCAGAATGAATGAAACAAGTTGATTTCTTGTTCGGTTCTCGGTAGATTCCATAGATTTGGTCCACTGAACTAGCGCTGTCCAACTTTTCCGTTCTCTTTTCATTTGAATTGAAGATTTTCACTTTCACTCTAAGACAATTAAGTTAGCTTCTAGAGTGTAATTCCCTCGTATTTGCTGACATCCGGATACCTTGTTTCCTATCGTGGACGCCTTTTGTCTGTTATTTTCAGGTGTTTATCATTTTCGGATATTTTTCGACTTTCAGTAGGCATTTATTTCATGTTATTTTTTCCGCCGTGGAAATTTGTAACTATTTTTTGTCTTTCCTTCACCTTTATCGATGTACTTTTACTACGTCCGTGTTAGGCAGTGACAACGTTGCCAAGGTTAATCCTAATTGCATTCGCACGATTTTTCAACCCGATTGTCCCCCGTGAGAAGTTCGCCTCCCAGTTTCTCATTTAGTTCCAATCATTTATTTGATCTCCCTCACCACCCGATCCCTCGACCCCCCACACACACCCGGCCCAAGTTTTACATCCGAATTGATTCATTTGGTGACACTATCATTGTATCTTTTGTTGTATCTAAGTTCATCCAGGCGTTCTGGGCCCAGTTCACAGATGAGCTGAAAAAATAAAACAAACGCCAAAAGTTGTGTGTATGTGCAGAGTTTTCTGAACCAGACTAAAAGTGATTCGTGAAATGTAGACAGATTCTGTACAGGTACTGTCTAGCTATCACAATTCAATGCAAGCCTTGTGCGTTTTT